GTTCACCAACATCACCTTCTGAGACTTGCTTCAATGCAATATCACTAGTGATAGCTTCTTGAACACCAGACCCTGTAATATTTGATGCAGCCTCGTTTTTGGAACCTACTGCAATAGTTTCCACTTTTTCTGATCCATCCTTTGAATTTGATTGCTTTGGCAGCTCACTAACATTACGTTCAGAGACTTCCTTCAGAGCAGATTGAGTAGGGGTAGTTTCTTGAGCACTAGATCCAATATTGCTCGATGCAATCTCTTTTGTAGTACCCGCTGCATTAGTTTCTAATTTTTTTGAACCATCCTTTGAATCTGATGGTTTTGGAAGCTCGCAAACATTACCTTCTGAGACTTGCTTCAAAGCAGTATGAGTAGTGGTAGGTTTCTGAAAACCAGATTCAATAGTGCTTGATGCAATCTCCTTGCTTGAGGTGGGTTTAGAATTCATGTCCTGAACTTCACGGACTTCCAGTACATTCACATCCTGAATGGTGCTTGAATCCTTTTTGGGCTCTGGCAAGATGATAGCCGGTTCCTAAAATTTCAAAGAAGCCATGATTAAAATCTTATATAATTTCCTATATAAACATACCCAAAAAAAAGTACCATTGTGACTTCAAATGGATGTCCATAGTCCCTAACTAAATGGTTTAATCTAACCAGCAAAATTGGTTTGACTGGTACAAGATAAAAGAGAGAAGATCATAACGAGAAGGTCAAAGAATATATTTATGGAGAGACGCAAAGATATCCAGAAAAATATACTTGCACTACGAATGCAACAGAATTAATAGTCTTAAAACACAAGTTTGCAATAAAATTTAAGACCATGGAATTAATTAAAACATAACTCTAGTTAGACAGGCATAAATCCAGAACCTCTTATTTGGTGTGCATTACGTAGGCCACACATGAAGTAAATCACTTTGACAGGCGCATCATCCAACAAATAAAATAGAATCAGTCTCAACAGCTTGACATTGCACTCATGGACAATTATTTGGTATATGTACCCTTTCTATAGAACTTTTGCTTTAATGGCAGAAAAAGAACAGGGAAGTTTGATGTCATGGAAAAAATTTGGATTGTCCAGGGAACTCATAAGAAAGGAGGGCCACCCAACTTAATTATGCCAGTGCTGTAGAAAATTCACAAAGTACAAAAGAAGTACAAACCTACTTTGATTGAGGAAATATGTTTGAAATAATGTAACAGATAATGACTGCATAACTTACATGGAATGCACTACGATCATCAAACCGTGGTTTATCTGACCAGGACACATCTTTTTCCTGTTCTGTTGGTTGCTTTTCTTTGGAAGGAACGTTTTGATAACTAGAATTTGAAGAAGCTGCCTTCACATCCAAATTCTTTGGGAGATTGACATCTGCCTCAGAAGGACCCTTCTCTTTGCTCTCACCATGCAAATCAGAATCCTGCTCTACAGACGGATCACGCATTCCAGCTGGTGCCGGAAGTGGAACCAGTGTAGATATCTCAGCTTGCATATCAGAAGAAATGGAATCAAAGGAAAGGATCTTCTCAGATTCTGGAGGGCTTGAATCATAGATTGGCTCCTTATGTTGATTGTCATCCAGCATCCCACTCATAAATTGGCTTTCTGACTCTTCAAGTGGAGGTTGTGGTGAAATCCCAAACTCCGCAGCATGATCACCTCTTGGCTCCAAACTTGTTGTTCCACCTTTCCTAACATCTGAAAATCTTTCATCAATTTCTGACACTGATGACAAGCTTGACCTACTGCTGTTGTCCCCTTTAAATGGTCGTGGTTTCGACCGAACGTCATTCGTTATTACCAGAGGATTAGACCCTCCTGTACCAGACAAGCTCGGTTCCAGATTTTCCACTTTGCCCAATTTTATTTCTAGCTCATCATGTTGAGCTTCCCTTTTTCCAGCGCGTTCCATTTCTAGAGAATCTACATCTTCAGAGGATTGACTTCCATGGCCAACCAGATCATAAGCATGGTAAATGTTGGAGATCACTTCTGCTTCTTTAGTAAAGTCTTGCTCGCTGAACTTCCTATCATCCATATCCGCTGCAGAACTCACTGATTCAGTATCAGCAGTAGAACTCAACTTTGAATCACTAACATCACTTGATTGTCTTTGTAAAGAGGAATAGCTTGTTCCTTCTGAACCCAACCGTTCCGGTACAAAAACAGGTCTCCACTTAAAATCTTGCCTCTCGTTCTTGGCATCCCCGAAGCTTGATGGTCCCAAACTGAAGCTTTCATGCCTGCTGAAGAACGTGTCCTTGGGGTGAAATGTCATAAAACCTTGCTCAAAATGGTCTCCCTTGAGATCAGGTTTTTCTTCATTTGGCTCATAAGGAAGATGAAAAGGGTTTCTTCTTGGCAACAAAATTGATGGAGCAGAACCCGGAATGGGGGGTAACCCCATACTCTCATAGGAACCATCATATGAAGGATCAAATGGGTTGTGCCTTGTTGTTGAAAGTGGTGTAACATTAAAAGGATGATCAGAACTATCTAAATCAATTAGATTCTTCTCAGCTGTTAAACAGAAGCTTTTTGTTGCTCTTCTTCTTGCAATAAGAGTCTCCAACCATTGGTTCCTCTCAAGCTCCAAATTCTTCAAATCCATGACATTCTTTTGGTCATCCTCTGTCCACTTGATTGCAGATTTGCTTTCATCATCCTTGCCACCCTGTGCTTCTTCCTCATCGCCCCCATCTTCTTCTACTTCTCCATGCTGGTTGACAACATCCTCATATGTCTCATTACTGCCATCATTACTCTTGTTAGACGCAGCATCAGACTCATCATGGGACATATCAGCAGCATCAGACTCGTCATGGAACAAATGAGCAGGATGTGGAGCTTCTAAGTCTAAAAGCGGGTGTAGTTCATCAAGAATGGGAAGGATGTCAGCCATTGATGCATCTGGTGATGAACTCTCCGCTCTATCTGACCCGGTATCTGAAGCCTCATCATCACCACTGCCATTTAGAGAAGGCTCCAAGTGATCACCCTTGCGAAACGGCTCTCGGTTCTCATGTCGTACCTTGTGAACCAAAGAATGCTGCTTCTCAAAAGCCTCCACACCCCTTGTCATGCCTCGATTCCTCACTTTCTCTTTATGAATGTTTCTCCGGCTTTCCAACTCCTTACTGTCTATTTCTCTTTCCATATCCTCAACCGCTCTCCTCTCACTCTGATTGTGCTGCAAACTCTCATCAATAAGTGGCACATACGCAACTGAACCACCATAATCCTCTGCCTCACTGCTGTCTGTAATCTCCCTTGTCTTTCCTGAGAATCTCTCAAAAGAAAGGCCCCCATCTCTCTCAACAACAACAACGCCATCCCTCGAAACCCTGGTTCTAAGAGAAACAATATCATTGCTACTCTTCTGTTCCTTTTCAATTTCTGGTATGTTGTTGGGTTGGCCAAAAATTAAAAGGGTCCCAAGAAGAACAGCAGAGCAGACAAAAACAGGGGATGCAGTCACCAAAAGAGAAAACACATAAGGAAATACTCTGTGCAGACATATCAAGAAAAGCAGCATGGCCACAAGAAATGGATGATTACAAACTGATCTGTAACTTGTTCTGATTGGTATGGTCACATATTTCCTGATTTTAACTCCCATTTCTACCACCAACCCCATGTTTCTCTGTCTTTTTTACTTCCTCTGGATAATGGATAAGGATGTTAATTTCAAGTCCTAATCTGTATGTATAGAAAACTAATCAGACAACATAGTCATATGGGTACCCAACAAATCAAAACCAAACGCAAAAAATTGTTAAACAATTAGCAAAAACACATTCAGAACAAAAACCCACCTAAAATGTTGATTCAAAAGAAAATCCCAAGCAAATCAGACGAAGAACAATCCAATACCTGAAAAGCCAAAAAATATTGAGACTTTTTGCAAAAGGGAAAATGGAAAAAATGAGAAATACCTCGGCAAAGAAAAGACTCACCAGAAGAAAATGACAATGTAAATCCTCAGCTTTGAACCCTCTGCCTCTCCTCTTTTTCCTTCCTGCCCTTTTGGGGTCTCATGCAAACCATCTCGGAAACCTGAAAGTAATGTTTTTTTTTTTTTTTTTTTTTTTTTTTTTTTTTTTTTTTTTTTTTTTTTTTTTTTTTTGGAGAAAATCAGAGAAACCAAAATAGCATATGGTGGGAGCCATGCATATACATTCTCTGTTTAACCACATATTTTGAATAAAAAATGTTGATATCAGAGAAACCAAAATAGCATATGGTGGGAGCCATGCATATACATTCTCTGTTTAACCACATATTTTGAATAAAAAATGTTGATGGGTTATGCGAGTGGAGGGGATGATCATTACAACCTCCTCGAACAATGGCATTGAATATTCATTTTCTTTTGGTCGAAGTGCAAAAGTCTCACCTCAAACAAACTATGTTTTGCTCACGTAAAGAGTGCATGACTGATATTGGTCTTAATGGGCTTTGACCGATCGTAGCTACGCTTTTCGGGCCTGATCCAATCCAAGGATGTAATTTTATTTTATTTTAAATACAAATAATATTGACGAAAGGGGGAATCGAACTTAGCCCCTTGAATATGCTAACTGCTCTTCGTCAATTGAGTTACAAGCCCTTTGCTTCAAGGATAGAGTTAATTGTAGCAATAACTCGTGAATTTAACCGACTTTCAGTTTAGTCTCTAAGTTCGTTTTTTGAATTTTCCAGTCCCGAAATTTTTTCAGTGTCACGCTTTCATCCTTGTGGTCGCTTCTATTATGTGACTAACTTTTCAGGGCAAAAAATGTTCTGACATGTTACGGTAACTCCCCTAACAATCCTACCAACCTCAACTTACGGAGTGCGTGGGATCGTTAGGGAAGTAATTACCTGGTACGATCTTTCTGTCACTCAAAGTTGGTCGTGTGTGCAGCACATGATCGAAATATGGAGAAAACTAAACGGAAATGGTGACAATGATGAAAGTCCAAAGACTATAGAATTCAATAAACAAGCCTAAGTTTATATTGACATTGGTATCAAATGAATAAGTATACAATTATCATCATTGAAATGTTAGCTTTCTTCACCACCTTCAACCTGATATACATGCTAGTATGCTACATATAATACATTCATTTCTCACCAGTTCCCCTCAACGCCAATAAAGCAGCTCCATAAGCAGCCTCTGTTTGAGTTGCACGACTCACAGGTAAGCCAAGTACCCTCTCTCTTATCTTTGTCCATTTCTCATTTTTCGCGCCACCCCCAGCTGTGAACACTTCATCAACTTGAGTTGCTCCTAGATCCTTCAGCAAGCTGTAAGCTTTTGCCTGTTTCATTTCACAATCACAAAGTGAAGGTTTTATTGCCGTCAGCATCTGGTTATTAATTTGTTACGTGTCTCCTATTTCGACAGTGTTGATCAAGTTTGATCAGAGAGAAGGCAATCTCCATACCTCTATGCGTGCAATGGATTCAAGAATCCCATGCAAAAACTCAACCTCGCTTTCTGGACGTGGATCTAACCTGCACAAAAACAAAAAACTAATTAACCATTCAAACTACAGGAGATTATTAGTCCGGTGCAGAGACTGCACAAGCAAATATTGTGAGCAAAGCCAATGCCAAATGAAGAATTCCTTTTCTAAAAGATCTTAAATTAACTATTGCTTCCCTTTTGATAATTTATGAGTCGAGATGCACTAAACCCCTAGGCAAGGTTTTATATATACTGAAGTACTTTGGCAGATTCATCATCTCTATTTTCTCCTTCTAAGGATGGTTGGAATTTTCCTTACCACCCCAAGAACTTGACAATAAACATTTTGAGCTGCATGCTTAATCAAATTGACAAACTTTGGAACACTAACATTTTTTTTTCTATCAAATAGAGATAAAAATATTGAAATGTCTGGTTTGAGATTTGCTTTCTTCAGGCATGTTATGCTGACAAGCAGATTTTCAAGTACAAGACTTTCTCATGTAAAGGGTTCTTGAAGCGTAGGATAACCAAAATCCCCATGAGTTGTTCATCTCTTAGTGTTAGACGACCAACCCCTGATTACATGATCCTATTGTTAATCCCATCCAAGTTGCAGCTGATTATTTATACTTTGTACCATGAACGGGGTGCAGTCACCATGTTCTGTTTCCACTAAATAAACAAATGGGAATATATACATAATATTTCTAGAGAAACATCTTATCATGTATTACTTGTATTACGAGAAAGATTGACTATGCTTCTACACATTGAGAACCTAAGAATATATGCAACATACCAGGATAAATTGGATAATACTGTCAAGCATCTATCATTCTCATCATATTTCTTCCTAGTTCTTCAAGAAGTACAGAAAATACCACGTACCTAGGAGCCATATTCGGATCTGCCACAGGAAATCTCTCGCCAATTGTTTGCAGCGGGTAGTAGTCTAGAAGAGAGGCTTCCATGGGATTAATTTGTTCACTCAACTTCACCAGTTGCTCATCAGTAAAAATTTGTCTAAGAACTGCTCCACCAGTATTTGAAGCACCTCCAACAAGCCACTTATCATCAAGGCGATGACTATACACCCCAAACCGTGCATCTTCAATCCTAGTAGTGCTCAACAGTTTTATGGCAAGTGTCGAACCCAAAGAAGTTACCTATGTAGAAAAATTATACAAATTAAATTGAGGATCAATAGTGGGCATGAATCCATTGGGAAGCAACAAAACCTCAGGAAAATAATACATGAAACATATGTACAAATTTATTTATTTTTTTAAAGTACTAGGAAACTCAATGTACGGAGCGAGATAAGGTCTGCATAGGATTTGGAGGTGCAGAAACAGAATGAGGTTTCATGGTCATAACTCGAACCCCAAGAATATTTAAGACCTGGTGATGAGAGCTTTCCAGTATGGCTAGCCCACAAGACCTTTTCACATCAAGCAATGCATACAATGAAACTTTCTGAGTGAGTAAGAAGGAACACATGGAACTCTTACAGCTTTCCCAGGTTGTGTTGCACGAGCTGCTAGAAAGGCTGCTATACTATCAGTGGTTCCTGTGCATACAACACAATCATTTGGGAAACCTGCAAGGACATTTTATATATTCAGGTTTAAAGTGCAACAGAAAGATGATAAGACATGCATTGTATGACCTGATGCTATTTCCATTCTTCAGTCTTAAGAAGGAGACTTTGGAAAAAGCAAAAGGAGAGAGAAATTTTCCTATCTGATGCATTAGCACTGTTTGCTGGATGGAACTATCCAGAATTGTATCAGTTAGTAATGAGTGTTTTTTCAGACTAATGACAGAGTCTTAAAAATACATGATCATCTCCCATCATCTTCAAATATAAATCAGCTACAATATCCAGGAAAACATATATCATCCACAGGGGCAATATGAACATGTTATTCCATACATTAAAGTTCTATGTGGTTTCAAAAGACACTCTTTATTAGTTGTTTTTCCTAGATAGCGGTGAACCATAACAAATTGAACGAAAGTTACTTTTAAGTTTGCTACTGTACAGACTTAACATTTAGGTTAATTTGCTCAATGATCCATTGCATAAATGCATAATAGGATTTGTGTATTAAAAAAGTTTTTAAGTGCTAGACGTGTCCACTACTGGGAAACTTGCCAGGAAAATATACCAAAATCTGATCTTATATCCTCTTTCAAATGACCAATTGAAGTTCCAGGAGCTCTGACAGAAGGTAAAAGTTGTGAATATGGCTGAGAGAGGAGCCAAGGTGGATAGGACTCAAGCTCAGGATCATAACCAACCTAAGACATTTAAATTAAATTATAATATCTACAGACAAAAGTTTAATGATTTACAGCCAGAAGATGTAAAAATATCACAGAAAAATACCTTCAGGGCATTATTATAATCAGACACTCCAAGCTTTCCATGAAGAAGCCACAAAAGCCAATCTGCTTGGTGCAACAAAAGTGCAGATTTTTTATTTGAATCATCATTCTCCCACCATGAGACAAGCTTGCACAGAGTGGAGGAACCAGAGCAGACTGTATGGTTTGGAGGAGCTATAGACTTAACTGTTGGTAAAGCATCAGGGCAACTCTCGTTATATAGGAGAGGTCTCCATAATGGTTCCCCTGTGTTGCTGCATGTTTAAATTCAAATGCCTGCTTCAAATGAGATTCACAAAAACAAGCGTAAGCACCAAATCTCTAAGATATCCACCTGTCTACAATGAGAGTAGTTGCAGAAGTCCCATCAATGGAAATGGAAGCAACTAGCTTGCGGAGATGAGATGGAATGTCTTCAAGTAGTGAGAAGAGTGTCGCTTTCCATGAACGAGCCCAATCCACCTTTTCTTCACTCTTTCTAAACAATAGAAAGCAGATATCAATTACTTGGAGTAGAAAATATGGTGCAACTAATCACAAAAGCATTTCCTTCTTCTCGGTAAGGTCCACCTCCACCATACTTAACTCCATCTTTGATCTTTGAATTATCCAGTTATATTTGAAAACCACCAATTCCTTGTAGCTTCTGACTGAAAATTTCAATACAACTGTCCCCCAAAATTCCAAAACCAATTTCTACCGTCGAAATTTTCTCAACTATTAACCCCATTACAGTACCATTCAATTCTCGGTCAAGCACAAGCCTTTTTTAATGCAAGCGATAAATTACTCTAAATTAATCTAACCTACGAGGAGGGGGATTCGAATTTAGGTGCAAGGGGGGCGGGCTCACTGCCCTGGCCAACTGGCCTAACCCACGTATGTGGTCAAGCACAAGCCTTGTATAAATTTTCTATGCAGACACACACACTCCCTAGCAACACAATAAATGTTTTTTTAAAATGTTTTCAAGCATTCCACCTCATACTAGTCCCTAGAAGCAACAGAACGGATATATGTAACCCAAGAAATTAAAATGGAACTAAACACATATTATTAAAAGAAGAGAGATATAGCAACACAAATTATTAGCATACCATAAAATGAGGATATTCATGAATTGTCCCTCGCTTGTCGATGAGCGCAAACCTCGCTCCTGAAGTACCAAAATCCAGTCCAAGATAAAGCCTCTCCCCAAGTAGAACCCCCACTTCAGCCTCATCTGTGTTGCTTCCAAAAGCCATTGGTATTGGTCTTGGACCTCTTCTTCTTGTTAGTTTGTTCACATTATCATACAAACACAACCCAGTTCCTGAAAATTGTTTCCATGAACTAAACAACCCTGAAGCATCAAGATCATATACCAAACACTTCACAAATTAATAAATATTTGGTCATGAGCTAAGAAACACGAATGAAAAATATGTGTGAGAGAGAGAGAGAGAGAGAGAGAGAGAGATAACCATGTTTAGGGGATGACGACCATGGAAACAGAAAGAAGATTGAAGGATTGTAAACAGATGCAAGCATAGTCTACTGTGTTCTGTAACAGGGTGTTGCTCTGTGCTAGTAGGATAAGGGGAAGCAAGCAAATAGGGGACATGGATTTTTAACCAAAAGCCGATAGCTTTTTCTGTTGATTTTCTATTTGGTTGGGGAATTGTGGGTAATGGCCCAAAAGTCCAAACCCTTCTCATGTAAATGGACTTAAAATCCAATGGCGCTAAGCCCTACATGACCAGAATTGGGCCTTTTGAGTTCCTTACTAAGTCATCATTTTTTAACTCTTGTTGTATCACTCGTTTTTATCGGTAAATTATAGTATGATACACATGCGTAGATAATTTAATAAACATACAAAGAAAAAAAAGTTTATTTTTTACACCTATCAAACTGTGATTCACAAATAAGAATGAATAACTACTTCCGAATAAGAGCTTTTAGTTTGGTTGTCTTTGAGGTTGGACTGATAGGTTTGACTAGTGTAGAAATACTTAGAGGCACAATAACGCTTTGAAATCGAGGTAGGAGATCTTGGGAGCCTCTAGATTATGATTGAAAGCTTGATTTTATTAAACTTCATGACAAATAACTTGTCTTTGTCAATAAATGTTGATTGATTATGCATGAGCTTGTATTGAGTTGTTCTTCTATGATCTTGGCACCTAGGTTTCTAGACACACACACACACCCAAAAACAAAAAACAAAAAAATTGTTGTATAGTTTGTGAGTTGAAAATTCATATTTGGAATTTTTATAGTTTAATTGATGTTCTGATTTTATTGATTTTATTTTTTTTCATCACATCTTGATTATAGAAGTGTCTTTGTCAATCGGTGAGGATGTGATTCACATCACAGCTCCAGATTTAGGCAACTTTCTTGGACCGGGGCCTGATAGAAGTGTGATGCAAATGTGTGATTGAACTAAACAACTAAACTCTGACATTACAGTCAGTACAATCATGTTGTGTAGCATTGATGGCATGACACGTTTGGATAGGCTGTTTTTTTTTTTTTTCCTCTTTGATGCCAGCAATAATAGGAGAGAGAGAAATCGAACTTAAGAATCTCGAATAAAAAAATAAATGCTCTTAACTATTTGAAATACAATTTTCTTGCAGGGCATTTTGTTTGTTAAGTTCTAATGATTGTTCTAAATAGAATTAGGTTGATATTTTAGGAAAAGAAGAACAGAAAACAAAAAACACACGCAAAAAAATTGATGAATGGGATGGGAAGACATGATTTGATTGAAATAGAACCCACATGGAAATTGGTAATTTGCAAAAGGGCAGAAGGCCCCAATTGCACGTGAGCCATTTGAATGTCAGGAAAAAAAAAGTGGAAGTGACAGCTAGTTGAGCTTCTCTTCAAGGTCACACAGGCATATTCACAAACACCTCTAGGACCACCTCAAAAACAAAAGGTTGTAAGGTTGTAAATGCATTTTGCTTGCTTTACTTGTGGCAATCAAAGCCCTCCAAGCAAAAATGAGTGCAAAATTGATCACCCATTCCATTCTTGTTTTCTTTGTTTGTACTCTTCCAGCGTGCAGATTGAAGTTGAAGTTGTGCATCAGCAAAGAGTCAGCCATGGTCCATTTCCAAGCCAAAGAATGAGAGACGCACAAGGTCTTTTTAGAAATTTGCTCTTCCATGTTGAATTTTATCGTAAAACCCCAAAATAAAATTGGATTTTATTGTTAATGCTATAAGCCTATAATGGGTTGGTGTTGGTCAGTAAGACAAGCCCGTCTCTGTAGGATTGTGATGCTAGAGTTTCTTGGGACCCACAATTACGTCTTTACCCTCTTTTCTCATATAATTATGAATCTATATAAGGTGTCTCATCTCTATCATTCATAGGGATTTTGTATTAGTCAAATAGTGAGGAGAAGTTCAAACCAAAAAAAAAAAAAAAAAAAAAAAATAGTGAGGAGAAGCATTTTAGAACCCCTTTTTTTTGTTGACAAAATGAAATAAATTTCCTTTTCTGTTATTTGGATTAAAATAGAAAAAATACATGTTGAATGTTGATTACGATATCCACAAATGATGAGTGCGATAAATGTTCATTCGGTCAATGGTGTTTAACGCATTTTATTGGAGGAGATTTTGAGTTTAAATCTTAAGTACTATAGTTGTTAAATAAAATAAGCTAAGAAGCCATATTAATCTGTCGTCTACTTTTACATGTAATCAATATCGTCACGTAGTACTATTCGTATATCTTTGCGCATAAACATCTAATCATATATTTAGACGCTAAATGAATCAATAATTTATTTAAAAAATTTAAAAGAAAAAAGACGTGAATCCATCTTCTTGGTCTCTTAATTTTTGGGTTAGGGTATATAAATCAATCATTTTCTTTTATCAAGCCAAACAAAGGTATGCCATTTGGCATTGTTTATTTAGGGTGAAAAGTGATTTAAAAAAAATAAAATTGGGAAGCCCAGCCTGTTTAGTAAACCATGAGAAAATCACTTATTGTTAAAAATTGATGTGAGAGAAAGTTATAAGGGAAAGCAACTAATGAGGTGCTTTCATTTTCTGATTATGCATGAATCATTTTCGAAGAGGCGCTGAGTTTAATGATTATGTGGTAATTATTTTCTGATTATGCGGGAATCAGTACCAACAACACTTTTAACAAAAAGTTTACCAAACGCCAAACTATTTTCTCTCACAGCAAATTTGATAGCGATTATTTTCACAGCAAAGCAATGTCAAACTGGCCCTAAAATTATATTCGATTAATAATTCAGTCGTAGCCTTTCTTTTTAAATGTCAATAGTTAAATTAACCATAGTTGAGATTACCACTTTTGAAAGCAAAAGGTAAATTAGTGCATTGGGGAGGGGTGATGAATTGTCAATGTCCCATGTGTTACTTTGAATGCAATTTTTACAACTTTTAATTATGAAAATGATCATATTGATGGATAAGAAGAGACACTGTAATAATTTATAAATAGCAAGTTTGTCATTTATTGAAAAGCTTTGAAATTTAACTTCATTTTCATTCACAGGTGTTAAAAGAGACTACACACCAAATATATATTTCCTACGTTGAAATAAGAAATATTTTTTTAGAAAAAGTGATAGTAATTATTGATGAAACATATCATAGTATAATGTCACAAAAAAGCCATAATGGGTACAACATCTCCAATGACCAAACACAACAGCATATTGATTTGATCTGTAGAGAATTACACCTAAACCTACAAATACTCAACCCCTGATTCAGCATTTCAATGGACTCATACTCACACTAACTATACTCAACCTCCTTATTCAGCATCCTGAAATAAGAAATATTTTATGGTGATCACTCTGTCAAATTTTTTCTTGGACAATGAAATTCCAATTGTATATTATTACTTGCATAGTAACACAGTCAAGAGTTGTTATAGCAAAAGAAAGAAAAAGAAAAAAAAAAGATCAGACAAATCACATGCTACGTACAATCGCCAATATGTTTGAAGGTAAACATGGCACGCATGGTGATTGAAAAAAAAAACTCTTATGATATTCAGACTACGTACTACTCAAGCACTGATCAATTAGTAAGTTAATATAAATAAATTGTTTTTACGTCATCATTTAAAGAACATCTATGCCAAAAAAAAAAACCAAAAAAAAAAAGTTAAATTGGAAATTGTCTAACCATTTTTATTATTATCATGAGTATTTTCATTGTTTATAGGAAATATTGTGTTCGTTTCAGGGCCGGTCCTGACTTTTGGGTGGCCTTATGTTAGAAATGAAAATGAGGTCCATTTATCTTTCTTTCTCCTAAATATAATAAACTAAAATGGAAAAAAAAATTATGCAATTAAATACAATTTGGATAAATAAAACAGGGCTCCAGTATTGGTCATATAATCGTTGCCCCAATTTGAAAATAAACAAGAATAAGGATATAAATAATTTGCACTCTTTCATATTTCCTCGCTAAATAATCTACTAACAAGAATTTTTGGATAAATAAAAAGAATTTATAGTCCCTATTGGCTTTCTTTCATTGATTACTACTTTTAGCAATTAAATACTTTTTGACAATTAAATACTTAAATACATGCAATTGATGTCTTCTGAACACTTAGCATAATTAAAAACCCTAGCAGAGAAAAAAACTCTCTCTCCCAAAAAACCCTCATAGAGCCGTTTTCACTTTGAGGGGGGAGGAGGCCCTTGTTATTCCTCTCCTCTCCCCTCTTTCTCTTCCTCCCTCTCTTCTCCAGAGACAAATGGTTTTCTCTCATAGGCGATTGTGATTTGTTCTGATTTTCCTCCAACCATCATAGGCGATTACGTCTCAGCGTTAGATCTCTACCTGCGTTTTGACGTCGGATCTCTACCACCATCTTTTTTGCAGTTTCTTTATGTTCGAAATAAGTCACAGAGACTGGGTAGGTTCTCTATGAGTTTTCACCTCTCCTTTTGTGAGAGCTTTTCACCTCTCCTTTGTGAGAGCTTTTAATCTCTCCTTTATGAGAGTTTTATTTGTATTGTTATGGCTTGGTTTTTTCAAGCTTTGTATATTTTTGATTATTCTGAGTTTGCAATCTTAGTTGGGATGCCTATGTTAGAGTTTATTCGATCATGTGTGATCGTTAGTGGAGGCGCACCAAATTGTCTTAATTTTGTTGTTCGACCGCTCCGTTATTGTAATCGCCCTTTGTGGCTAGTTTGCTTTGGCCCCTTGTGGCTAGTTTGCTTTGGCCCCTTGTGGCTAATGGCTTTTTTTGCTGAATTATGAATGCAATCCTAGAATTTCTCAACAAAAAAAAAAACCATGCAATTGATGTTCGTATATTACATAATTTTTATTTGGACTCTTCAGAAACACTTGTAATCATATTTAGGGCCTCTGAATGCCAAATTATTGAAATTATTCTCGTCTAAAATTATATTCTTCAACTTGGTACATATAATATATATAATTAATTTGGGGCCCTACAAATGCGAGGCCCATGGCCATTGTCCTCCTTGCCCACCTTCAGAGCAACTCCACCCATTTGCTATTTGCCATGGCAATGGGGGGACTAGGGCAGCTAC